TACATACGAAGAGATTCAGCATACTCTGCAGATTGGTTCAGGAAATGTTCAAAAGATTTTACACGAGTACCTTTGCGTAAGGAGGAAAGTTTCCCGCTGGGTGCCGCACAACCTCACTGAAGCTCAGAAGCAGGCCCGTGTGGATTGGTGCAGTAATATGATACACAAATTTGATGCAGGCTCGTCACGGCGCGTTTACGATATTGTGACAGGTGACGTATCCTGGATTTATCAATACGAACCAGAAAAAGCGTCAGTCGACAGTTTGGCTGTTTCAAAATGAACCAAAGTCTACGAAAGTGAAGCGATCGAGGAGCGCAGGGAAAATTGTAATCGCTCGTTTCTTCACTTTGACGGGGTACCTAATTTCAATTACACTTGGTTTCAGACCAAAGCAGCATCAACGCCGAATGGTATAGCACAAAATGCCCGCCAGAAGTTTTTTCTGCAATGAGCAATAAGCGACCTAACACCGGGCTCCGCGGGGTCCTTCTTCACTAGCGGTGGGCGTTTAAACGAAAAGCGCTTAAATAAGCGCGCTTAAAATATTAAGCTTGTAAGCACGCTTTTAAGTATAAGCGTTATAAGCTTTTCACTTAAAAAGTGTGAGTAAGCTTTTCACTTAAAAAAGTGTGAGTAAGCTTTTCACTTAAAAAAGTGAAAGTATATTTCTTACTTAAAAAGTGTAAATCCCGCCATCTATGTATTTGCCAGGAAACTACATACTTCGATCCTTCTAGTCCACTACAGTATCGAAAAATGGGTACGCGGAATTCCTTGGAACTAAATATTTCATAATATCACAGACATAGAACGCGCGACTACAGCGCCGCGTCGGCGTGCCATCTTTCGTGAGCCGGTTAATACAGCATGCGAATTATTATAATGCGACGTAAAATAATGCACTTTTTTAAAATTTGGTCGGATAACCAACGCTTTTTAGTTAAAAGCGTATAATTAAACGAAGTCGAAAAGCAGTACGCTTGTCACTGTGACGGGGTAAGAGCGCGAGTGTTGTACGGTGTGTTTGCATGCTTGCTTGTGTTAATGCGTTTCGTGTATTGGTTTAATGTGCATATAAAATAGTTAAAAGTATGTATATAAAATCAATGAACTTTTAAGTACGCCTGGATCACGAGTATATTAACTCCAGACAGTCCTAAGCTTGTAAAGTACGAAGGAAAGTTCATTGACTATTATAAAAATGTTTATTATAAAATCTAAATTAAATTGAAAATCTTTCGTTTTTAATGCCAATCAATTCATTAGGTTTAAAAAAACGTTTTAATAAAAATTTCATTAATAAGAAGAAAAAACGCAATAAAACACTTAAACACATTAAAAACGACAATAAACTTTTCACGCTTTTTTAAACGATATACCTAAACGAAAACACAACACAACGTCGCGCTTTTTACGCATGCTTTTAAACGTTTAAGCCAATAAGCGTTTAAACGAAAAAGCTTTTTTCAAGCGCGCTTATTTTAAAAAGTACAACGTTTAAACGCTTTTAAGAAATAAGCCGTTTTTTCCATCTCTATTCTTCACCACGACAACGCGCCCGCGAACTCTGCGATGAAAACGAAGGACTTCCTGGACTCCACACCAAATAGAGTCTTGAGACACCCTCCTTACAATCCTGATTTAGCTCCGTCTGACTTCTTTATATTCCTTAAAATAAAAAAGCGCTAGCAGCGTTTGAAAAGACTTAAAAGACATTTTTTTTTCATAGAAGTTAGGTTTTTAGTTTCTCAAAACTTTCTGAGTGTCCCACGTATAGTTCTGAGTGTCAACCATGGAAATTACATTTAAAGACCATTGAAATAACCCAGTCTTTAGAATTCTGTTCAACGCTACTTCAGATACGAAATTAAGCTCAAATAAAAGTTATACGTCGTTGATTTAAGAAGTACTTATATGTATTCAAATGATATTTAGCAAAGATCCAATCCACACTGGGTTAATTATCACCCACCAATTCTCACTAGGTCCGTTATCACCCACCAATCTGCACTGGGTCCGTTATCACCCACCAATCCGCGCTGGGTCCGTTATCACCCATCCATTCATGTATTTGGTGACGGGTATTGTTAATTTTTTACCGATGAGTCACCGGCACCGTTACACGCGTAACGCAAAAATCGTCACACATTCGCCAGTTTACCCCCCAAGTCAAGCGTGCCTAAAGCAGTTTCATTCCAAAAAGTAGCTGTTCGTCTGACCTATTAGCAGTCTTTTTTTTAATTGTTAGCACTTTTAAAAGCGTGTTTTAGATTTGTTTTCGTCCAGTCACCGTATCTCTCAGTAATAAATGCATTTTTTGTGATATGTGTGCGTATAGTGCAATTACGAGCAGAAATGCTGTTCCATCGACCCTTCTATTGCAAACTTGAAACCAGTATCCTTTTCTCTTTGTGTAGCTGTGGTAACATACTAATTGCAAGAATACAACATTTTGCAATATTGTTAAGCGAAATTGAGCCAAAAAATATGACCCTGGCAAACTCAATAGGGGCACCGCCAATAATCAAAAAGAAGAAGAAGCGATAAGCACAGTCCCTATGGGAAATGAGATACCTATGCAGTGAAGCGAAACTTCTGCGCGGGGTTGACAAGGCCCGAAGGGCATGAACGACATCTACGAAATAGTTTTGTAGGTGCTTATATCTTTTCGTTTCCAGTGTGAATCCGTTTAAATAAGCTTGTACTCGGTTTCGTCTAACTAACTGGACAGCTTCGCCTCTCTAATTTAATTTCGCTCACCATGTACCTAGCCTACCCATAATGGCTGTAGCTATCTATAAGGTTTAGGTGTTCCTTACCCACAATTGAAATTCAAGCTCTTCATCCGTACTTTTCTTGAATTATTAAAAATTCAGGCAATAGCCTAAAGGTGGCAGCCTACTAACTTTAACGACAGTGACTATGTGTTTCGCACAAATTCACAACGCAAATAGCCATTAGGAAGTAATATGAATCTTCGCAAACTACATCCATCACTATTGTTTGCTCATCTATCTATCATATAGTAGATATGACTCGTGTTAGTTAATGTATGACATTACTTTATTATAACTACACACACACACACACACACAGGGCACTTGCACACTTTAAACAGACGTGAGATTTATATTTGGAGGTCAATAAGTCATAACTATAAAAGGTACTGGTTTACATAACAAAATTAACAAATATGTTGGTTAACTTTAAAAACTCAGTCTGAGAAATCTTTTGACGTACATTATAGCTTTCAAGAAACTTTAATTAAAGCTAACTTATTATATTTATAATTTTTATTATTTTTAAAGCATGTAACTGCTTGATGTTGCAAGACCCTTGCGAAGGGTGCGGGTTCGAGTCCCGTCTGCTGCCTGGTCCGCGTGAAATTTTTTCTAGTTATATTTTCTTTAGATTTAACTTATTATATTTTTATTTTAAGCATTTAACTAACATTTAAATTTTACGGTCGTCTCGGTAGGTCAATCCCGTCTCAAAACACGGACCTAGTGGAACTTCCTCGAGTAAAATTTTCTTTAGATTTAAATTCAAATCATTATTTATATCAAAAAATTAGACTTACTCCAGTAACGTACGTACATTAAAAATGTAGGTACGGAATCTGAGAAACTTTTTCTCTCGGCTGTAGAATGAAACTGTGAGGCGCTAAACAAGCAGAAACTCGACAATCGGTAGCCCGGTCGCAGCGCAGTAGCACAACTTGTGCGCGTCCCACTGACCCAAATGCACGCCCTTGAACCTAACCCCTCTCACCCCGCGCTCATTCCTTGCCCCGCCGCTCCCGTGACGTCACAAGCGCCCTTCGCGATTCTTTTAACTGTATTGTTTTTCATCCAAAAAAAGAAGTGTCAACAAGTCTACTGTATGCAAGCATCGGCGTAAAAGACGATTCACATAGAGACGAAGAAGTTTAAAAAACATTCCGATGTTTTTTTATAATCAGGACGTAAGCTATACGACGCGAAAGTATTACTTAAGCGTTTTTTCTTTGTTCACTTCTTTTTAAGTGTGTTTCATGCCTCCACATAGGGTCAAATCATAAAAACAGGCTTTTGGCGGTGAAGCTAACTTCTCCTCCCTCTATCTTTATACAAAAACTAATTAAAATCAGTTCAGCGGTCAGTCGTGAAAGCTTCTGTGAATGTCTGCCTGTTAAGACATACACATAAACTTTACAATTTAATAAAGGTATGAATATTGATTTTCTGGCTATTGTTCCAAAGAGTATCCATTTGGCTGGAGTTTCACAAAAAAGTCTTTATATAAAACCTGAAAATAATACAGCGATTCACCGTTCTGTGAGTAATACGATGCATCACATACGAATAGATTAATCTATTGGCTCTGGTTAAATTTTCCATTTGGTTATCTCGAGCGTCCTCGTTTTCCAGATCACTGAGCCAGACGACCCGCTACTGTTAAGATATCTGAGTAGCCTCCGCCTACATCGATTAATTTTTAAAAAGATAATAATACCTATATATAATATATTGTATTTTGCCTTCAACTAGCTTGAGATCTGATAAAGTATTCCGTTCCGACGAGTTATTAAACTGGTGCTAGCAGCCAAGTTCCCTCACCGCACCACACGCTGTAGAGAAAAAATCAAACCCAATATTGGGACGATTGGCATTCTATTTAGTACCATGCGATAAGCGCGTTCCTTTTTGTTACGTTTCAGCAAGATCTGGAACGAACGTCCCTCAGCGGTTTTCCTTTAAGCTATGATACGGCGGTCCTTAAAAGGCAGGTAAACCTTTTCCTTTAAAGCTGGCAACGCATGAGTGACCACTTTCCATCAGGTAAACTGTCAGCTCAAGCCTGCAAAAATATAAAGAAGGAACAGGCAATTGTAGGTACTACTACCAATATGGAGCACGAATACGTGATTAGATATTATAGAGATAAACTATTTGTAGTTTATCATCATTTAGCTAGCCTGAGATCTGCAAAGCAACAGGTACGTTACCTTATAATATATGGAGCATGATTCACAGGTACCCTTAGGAAGGCATACTCCATCAATCATAAAGAGATATTGAGTACTTTGCAAATTATCTAGATTCTACAAATTATGCTGCCCGATCTTACGAACGGTTTTCCCGAAAGTAAATTAATGGTCTTATAAGATTTATAAAATTTATTCGCATATTTCAGATTATACCAAATAGGTAATAAAACTTTATTGAAGGACAATTTGTTGATCTCTTTTTTAAAGTTAAGTATGTTTTATTAAACATAATTAACTTTAATACTATATTTAGTGAACTGTATTTTAAGCATTAGTAAATTTGTTGTTTTTGTTTCATATAACATAATATTGTGCTTTTGATTTATTTATTTATTTAAACTTTATTGCCTTTACAATGCAAATGGCGGACTTAATGCCAGTATGGCATTCTCTACCAGTCAACCGGTAAGAAGGTGCAGAGAAAATGAAACGGCATGAAACGGATTATTGTATTAATATAGTTATTTTAATATTTTTTTTCTGCAACACAGGTTATACTAGTTCAAGCTATATAATTTACATTACTTTTGATGTTCTTTGATCGAAGGACTTCATTGTTAATCCGATTTGGAATAAATAATTAATATTATTATTAACTTAATAATAAAAATATGGCACTTGCTATATATAGCCTTCTAAGATACCTCTGGGTCAAATAGGAAATTGCTTCCGAACTTATTATGGAGCTCACCGGATACGATGACCGGGCTTATCTTTAATGAAAGTGAAGCAGTGCGCGTTTTCATGAGTTTGCCGATTTGCTTTGTACTGAAGTTTACGTGTACAATTTACCTTTTAAGGGTACGTAGTAGAAGTACAAATCATTAAACATTTGACAATGACTTCGCACGCGCATTATATTCGAATTCGATTCGGCTACCCGAACTAAATTATCATTTTAAAGTTTAATATTTCACAAACGGATCCCTAAATCGAAAACTAGTCTCCGAAACCCCTAAGTCATTTTAAGGAACTATCCAACGATATCCCCACTCGATGGGGTAAAAAAAAACATCCCCACTTTCCATATAGGACAACTACCCAAAACAAAAATTTTCAAAACGGATAGACAGACGGACATTACGAAACTATAAGGGTTCTTTGTCAAACAACCCTAGAAACTTGTAATATTTTTTAGGGTAATTTTATTTACCGCCCATACGCATCGCATGGGAATGTTATTTTTTAAATATCAAGTTATAACCACATTAACCCCCCCTCGAATTGTTTTAAATTATGTGAAAAACCGCGGTTGTAGCACAAAGAATAAGGGACCGCACCCTACATTGCGATAAGCCATATAACAGTAGTTATTAAATGCTTAATAATATTCTAATAATAAATTAACAATTATTTTGACTTAGAAAAAATATTTTGCTGAATATTATTTATTTGCTGTTTCGTATCTTTTTTTTTGTTAAACTATATTCAATCCGTTACTGGCGTGGTGCCAGCAAGTCTCAGGCGATCGGTCGGTCGCGAGATGAATTATGTCCGAAAAGATCCTATCAGCAGACTCAGTCTATCCTATAGGCAATTAAACCTTATTGAGTGGACACAAAATATACAGTCATTGTTGTTCATGTAGTTTTATTTATATTTTACTAGTGGCCCACCCTCGCATCGCTTCGGTATAGAGTTGTAGTGTAGGTGGAGTATAGATTTTGTTCTCAAGCTTGTATTATATATACACAATGAATTTCTTTATATAATTATTTTTCTCACCTTTTAAACCTTCCCTAGACCTCCACAAACATTTCAAGACCAAGATAAGATAAATCCGTTCAGCCGTTCTCGAGTTTTAGCGAGATTAACGAACAGCAATTGATTTTTATATAGATTATTAACAGTTTTTTTATTTTTCTGTACAACTTCAGATTATATTTTATAAACGAATTGGATGCGTTTGACCGTAATCACACCAGATGTTAAGCAACGATGTGGTCTAAGCTGTAGCTTATGCACTTGATGACAAAGTTGTTTGTGATTGTCAGGTGCTGCGACTTTTATAATGTAAAATCAAGGTTTCTCTTATAAAACTTCATTTTGTCGAAATGGTCCCGTATTAATTTGGTGAGGATCTGATCCGTACTTTCGGATAAAATAATGGACTCCTCAATTACAAAGAGTTCAATTCGTGTTTGGTTATTTCAAGAGATATGAAATAGATAATGCAGGCCAGGTACCAAGTACTTAGTAAGTTGATCTTATTCTGGCTTAAAAAATATAAAATGAAAACTTTTTTATAAATAAACCCACTAAAAAGAAGAAATTATGTATATTCTTTGCTTAAATCTACAGTTAAAAATAATTATTAATTAAAAATAATAGTCAAAAATAATTTGAAGACGGTGAAATGCGTATTGATAGTTAAAAGTTGCCATTTACTGCTTGGGCTGGCTTGGATTTGCCTTTGGATTTTTCAGGTTCTATTAATTCATTTTACATAAAGTCGTGGACCAGTAATCCGATTTGAATATTTATTTTGTGTTGGATAGTGCATTTATGGAGGATGGTTATAAGCTATCTATATAACATAAAGCTACAACTAAAAGGAGCGGAGCAACAATGAAAAATGTTGCAAATACGCGATATAATAATCCATTTGAGAGCTTCCGTTGCGTGCGCTGCCTAAACGATAAAAGTTACATAAAAATCATGTTTAACGAAATTGTTCTCCTTTTAAATTTATATAAAAAAGTCCACGACAGCATATGTCTATCGTTGAAGGGTCACTCATTATAACATAATTTCCTCAAATTAATGCGAGTGAAACTGCAGGGCACTTCTATTATTTATAAAACTTCATCATCATCATCATCATCATCAACCCAAGCTCGTCCACAGCTGGACATAGGTCTCCCCTAATGCACGCCACTGCTCCCGATTTTCTGCCACTCTCATCCAGCCCACTCCAGCCAGCCTACGAATATCATCATCCCATCTTGTCTCAGGGCGTCCTACACTACGTTTACCGAGTCGTGGTCTCCACTCAAGAACTTTCCGGCTCCAACGGCCCTACGGCTACGGCTTTTATAAAACCTAAACCCCTTAAATTTGAAGCATGTCGCCATATTAAGAAATTATCTATCCTACTAGACGCTTCGAATGACACTAGTTTCAAATCTGTTGGGAGGTTTTCTTCCTTTACCTTTTTTATTTCACACTTTTTAGTTAGGATTATAAGACGGTATATACAGCAGTCTCATCACTTCAGTATGGGTATTAATATCGCGAAGATTAATAGGTACCTTACGGTGGTATCTTTTTTGAATTTACCTTTTTTATTATTCGTAATGAAAAAATGTATTTGTTACGATAACACCTATCAATGAGACCAGCGTGAAAAGCATTTCCCGCTAGATTACAGCTTCTGGTGCAGTGCAGCGGATTATGCAATGAAGTGATTCCCGGTACAACGAGCCATGTTCTGAGCCCACCTACCCTGTATTACATTCCAGCAGATAATTAAATATGATTGGAAAAATTTTATGTGTACCGAGTTTCCCACTTGGTATTCAGTATTAAGGATTTTTCGTAAGGAAAACTACGGTCTCTCCTCTTTGATGCTCTAAAAACTTGAAATGGAAATAATACTTATAGTTTTTAAGTTGTTAGACTAGTATAGTTATATATATCATAATATTACATTGATTACACTTTTTGAAAATGCATTAAATGTCATCTTCTTTTTGAAAATGCATTGATATTTTTAACGGTTTTATTATGCCACTCATTATTATATGTTTTCATAAGTACTTTTTACGGAAACCTTTTAAAAATAGTGTGCGCGTGTTTATTTCGTAAAAATTTTAATGCAAAGCATTTTTTATATAAATACCTACATTTCATTTAAAATGCTTCAGTATCAAAGTAAAGCTGTTAAAGAAAAACCAGTGAATGCTTTCCGCCGCAATAATAAAGGCAGCATAAAAAGCTCTCGTTAGCTTTAGCCTTAGTACTGCTTAGAAATTAATTGAAAGCTCATTTTGCGGCAAAATTAATAGCTTTGGTAACATGCAAGGGAAAAATCCATAGACACAAAAAGGCTCGCTTTGTAAGAAAAGAGGAGTACTCGCTAGTCACCAATCATAGTGAGTAGACGTATTATTGCATACTGTGGTAGGTGATTCTTAAAATCTTGATGCTTAGCAGATAATATCCATTTCTAGTTAAAAAATTAAGTACTAATAAACTAAGCAAGTTTGTTAATTCCCTACAAATAATAAAAATTTTGATTAGCAAAAAGCTTGCTTACAGGTTTTTTGATTGTTTATTAGTTTTAAGTTAGCGTTGTCGTTCCAATAGAAAGTCAAAAATTCTTTATCCAAATTGGATACACAATACAACTCTTTTAATTAATCGTATTTTTGTTTCCTTACCACTAGTTAAGGACATTTTTTAGCTGTGGAGAAAAACTGGCGAAAAATCTTCACAGCGTTAAATAATTAGGTGACAATATTAAGAAAATATTATATTGTTACGGTGTTAATACAAAAAGCATATAATCTTCATCATAATTATAGAAAAAGCCTGCCGGAACGTTTGGAACAGTTTAAACCCATGCATTAATGTCTGGAATATCATCAGATACCTTATAATAAGCTTTTTTTAATTGGAGCTTTAAATTTATTGACGCTTAATTTTTTGAATATTGCTAGGGACTTTATTGCAGAAGCGTACACAAAGACCTTTGAATGAATTATTGATTTTGTGGAGCCTTGTAATCGGTACAGCTAATTTAATTTTATTTCTAATATTCGAGCGAGTGCTCATCACTATTTAAAGGAAATAATTAAATACTTTTACGAACATACATTCAAATTTCATAAAAGTACTGCGATGCAACAGTCGTTATATCGACACCCTTATTTTTTTCTCTTTAAGAGTCTCTATTCTTAAGATTGTAAATTGTTCGGACAGCCCGCTTTTGCAGCACAAAAATAGTTTGAATGTCGGCAGTATTTCCCAGCCAAAACCGTGCGACATCACAGTAAGAAAATAACTAAAATATACTAATCGACCGGTATCGACGTCAGTTATTTGGCGTATCTTCATTACAGAGTAGGCTGCAGACAATGCCACTAGTCTAGGCTCACGGGTATGAGGCTGTATCGAACCAACACTTTCGCTATCTGGGCTGTATATACCTATATATACTGACCCATACCTGACACGCCAAGATACCGTATAACTACATTTCCCGGAAGCGAAAAAAATACTACATATGGTTAATACGCTCGTCGCTTTAACACGCACACATTGACTGCTGTAAAACAATGTGTAATACCTAAGATTCACGCACTTTTTTTTTCTCCGTTTTCTTTGCGTGTTTTAGTTTGATTGCTCTGTATAGGCGTGTATAATACAATCAAAGGTTATGCCTACGAGACGTTCAATGGATATCTTTTTAGGATAAATAATAATAAAAAATGAACAGGTTAATAGTGATATTATATTAACTCCCAATCAAATAGAAAGTTTGTCATTTCTCTAGGGCATAATGTTTATAATAGGTACTAATAATACAAGCTTGTAATGTAAATGCGAAAACGTAGTGCGCGCCGCCAGTGCTGTCTGAAGGGTTTAATACAACTTGTAATTAGTTTTGGACCTAAGACATCTTGTAACTGCTCCGTTCTGTCTGAGTAGCAAACAAGCTCGCGAGCCGTCTACTGAGCATGAACAACCACAGACTTGTGTTGGCTATATTTTGTAGTACTGTAAGAGTAATTTTTTGTTACCTAACAGAACACCTGTTCTGGGTGCACCAGCGATATTTGCATGACAACAAACGTTGTTACACAAGCTTTTGACTGTATTATTAATATAAAAGATCCAACACGTTTCAACGGGAACAAACTCAGAGAGGCTTTCTATATATAGAAAGCTAGTTTGTTTCGCTGGTTCTTCTCAGAAAGGTCTCCCAATTTTGGAACCGGTGGTAGTTTACGGTAGTTAGGATCAAATAAATAAACTCAAAATTACAAAAAATAATTTTAAATAAAGTACTTTATTAATTAAATTAGATAATAAATTCGTGCAGAGACAATAAAATTTTAAAATCTGCCAATGAAATATCCGAACGCTCAATAAAAAGTCTTTCGAAGATAGCTCGACAAAGTAAATAAAATCATAAGTCTGACGACGCTGACCTGAACAGACTGCGAAACGTCAATAAACAAATAAAATAAGTACATCTTACCCGTTGAAACGTGTTTTATTTAATGAGTGATGTGCGTGAAAACCTAAGAAACAAATATAAAATATCTACATTCCAGTATGCGTGCGAGATGTAGACAACATAAATTTTTGTAATGTGTTTAAATTGCCGCTATAGTGACGAAACTACTTCTCAATTATTTTTTTTTATGTTAAAAAGGTTGAAAAAACGTGGCCCACCTGATGCTGGCTGCGAGGAAGACAACCTTTTTTAAAAAATCACTCGAGGGGTCTCACGGCCGGCGCCCTGGGTAGCCCGGGTAGCGGTGGTCGAGACTCCATAAGTTGAGGCGGAAACGCCATTGGTGAGGGCGGTTGCGGTGAGGGCGGTTGCGGTGCGAACTCCGCGTCGGTTCCGGTCAACCCGTAACCCCGCCCGTAACCGTGCTGTGGGGCCGGGGGCCGCCGTCCTTCGGGGCGGGGGCTGCAAGGAAGAAAACCTTTTCAAAAATTACCTTTTGATGAGGCCAGGTAGGGTTCCCTCGCCCGGAAGAGGGAAAAAATTATGTAATGTCGGACAATGTTATCTATTTGTCCTGCGATCCCGCTGACTTCGGACACCCTGGGGAAGCTCCTACCCAGGGTGTTAAATTAGCTAGCAGCGGCCTATGCGCTCCGGTTGGCCACCGGCGCCAGGGGAATTCCGGTACCCCTGGTGTTAAATTTGCTACCGAGGCGTTAGGAGGAGTCTTAAGACTTAGAGGCGGAGCGGATGAGGGTGGAGAGGTAGCGCCCTTCCACGTCAAGGTGAACACGGCCCGTAGGGGAAAGAGGAAGGCGGCGGCATCAACTAGGCCGAATGCAAAAGAAGAGACGAAAACATCGTCTATAGACGAGGAGGAGGTGGAGTTCGGCAGCTCATGGCAGTATGAGTTGGACAGGCTAGCGGATATGGTCTTCGATGCCTCGGACTCATTGGGGCAGAAAGAGTACCGAGGTATGCTGAAAAGACTCGTGGCGCTCGATGGCAGTCTGGATCTTGCCTTCAAGAGAGCCGAGGCGGAAAGGTCCCTCGCGGAGAGAGCCCGCCGGTACCGCGAGGAGAGACGAGGAGACGCTCTACCAGGAGAGAATGGAGGAAGCGGCTTCCGAAGTGGAGGAGCTTCGAAAGAAGAACGCCGCCCTAGCGAAGGAGGTGGAGGAACTGCGCGGGGAGTTGCGGGCCCTCCACGACAGGGTGAGCGACGGCGCTACTAGCGGATCGGGGTGGAAAGAGGCCGTCGAGGAGTTGAAAGGCTCGCTTATATCGTCTATAAGCAAGATGGTCAACACTCGGTTGACATCCATAGAGGGAAGGTTGCCGCCTAGGGGTCAGGCTCCAGAGCCTCCCCGGGTGGACATACCAAAGAAGAAACCGGCAACCCAGCCGACGAAGGTAGTGGCCGCGGACTCACAGGAGTCCTGGAGTGTAGTGGCCCGACAAGGCAAGGGAAGGAAGATTCCTGTCGCAGTGTCGAAGCAAGACAAGAAACAAGCAGCAGGAGTTGGCCAAGGTGGGTAAGAAAGGGTGGGGGGATCGATCGGAAGGTGATGGAGAAGGCAAGGAGCGATATCTCCTGCCAGAGGTCGGAATAACGGGTGGCCTGACCATCAAGGCTAGTCAGACCGGGGATAAGCTGCTGCTGGTTCCTGGGCCTGACAGTGGGACGAAGGCCGACGCCGTAGCAGCGCGCCTCCGAAAAGCGGTGGCGGGCCTCGCTGAGGTGGGAAGGCCGGAAAAGATGACGGGCCTACGGGTATCTGGCCTCGAAGACACCGCAACGATTTCGGATGTCATCAAGGAGTTGGCTGATAAGGGAGGCTGTCCCACCAATATGGTAACAGCCTCGGAGTTGCGTGACTCCTGGGCCGGGCCCAGGGGGTATGGGACTCACGGTGGTGCGGTGCCCAATCGGCATCGCAAAGAAGGTGATGTCCGGCGGCGTGCTCAAAGTGGGCTGGTGCGCCGCATAGGTGCGACTGCTGGGCCCCCTTCCTATGCGCTGCTTCAGGTGAATGGGCAGGGGGCACACCTGCCGACAGTGCAGTGCGTAGTTTTGTCCTACAAAAGGGGGGCGGCGGAGGGTTCTTGGACGGACACGCTCAGGAGTCCCCTCCGCAGCGGATGGGGGGCGGTACGGTGGGTACTAGGCCGCGTTCCCAGCCCCCACGCGCGGGCCTACTTGCGCACGTCTGCGGGGTCCCCGTAATACCGCGGGAGACCCCTGCCGTGGAGCCCCGGCGAGGCCGGGAAGCTGTTGGGGGGTGGAGCCGTGGTAGAATCCCTAACGGGGACCCCGCGGCTCCGCACTAAGCAGTGTAGAAGGTATTCGCAGGACTTTTTTAGCGGTTATTATGCTGTAAAACGCCCGTAAGAGTTGCGGGGTCTTCGGTGGGTAGCCACTGGGGAGTCCGTAAGACTTACGGGAGCCAGGTGTGAGGTCCGTTCGGCGGTGTGCCTCTTAAAGGCGCCGTCGTCTGTAAAAAGATTTTTTACCTGCGTTATAAAAAAAAGGTTTTCACGCACATCACTCATTAATAAAACTAGTTTTAACGGGTTAATGCACGAAACTTTATTTATTTATTGACGTTTCGTAGCCTTTTCAGGTCTGCAAGATAATTCTGACGATGCAGACCTGAAATGGCTGCGACATGACAATAAATAAGTAAAGTTTCGTGCATTAATCCGTTAAAACTAGTTTTATTCATATGTAAATGATTCTATATGTTACCACTAGATTGCCATTAAACGTAGTAATCAAATGTTCATGTCACATACTGACGTCTACAACACCGACTGTAAACGTATTGTATACGTATTACGTACGTACTGAGAGTATTATACTAAACCTGTTAAACTTTTTTAACAAAAATAAGGTTGTATATACGTTGTATGTACTCAAAGAAAAATGAAACAGCCGGGTCATGCTTAATATTTAGCGTTAGCGCCCATAATATCTTTGTCGGAGGGGGCGAGCGGGATAGGCGGTTGGCCACGTGGTTGGTCTATGATCCGCCATCTTGGGTATTCAATGATATTTCCCGAAAATAAAACTGTAGTCTAGTGACCAAGCTTACGTTTAATTTGAATCTTTTTATTACTTTACAAAATCATTAGTTATGATTGCCAAAGTACAAACGGATTGCTTTGTGAAGCGTGGAGAGTTCTGTGCTTACGTCCGTTCACTATCGCGGCTCACGTCTGAATGCCGAATGCCGAATGCCCCTTCCAATGAAGCATAGCCCCTTAAATACTACCCTTAGCATAGACCACTCCCAAGTGATGACAGCTGTCACTGTCATTACTTGACGTTTCACAAAGCAATGGTACACTGACTGATGACATTTGTTGTCGGTTTAACGTTTCGAAGGAGCTAGTGAGACGCCATCCGCCGACATCTTTATTATTTTTGTATAGAAATATTATGAAACCAACCAACCAAACCATGATGCAAGTTAAACTTTTAATATCATTAGTAATAACGTAATCCTTTCTCGGTTGGGAATCGAACCCGGGCCGCCTGCGTAGCAGGCGTGCTTTCTACTACTAAGCGACGGATGCTTGTTGAAAGGTCTGATTGTTTTTATAACAATTGAAGATGTAATGCGACGTGCTTAGGCCCGTATTACAGAATGACAACTAAGTGTTGATCTTTACTTGAGTACAATTAAAAAGGGATGTCGCAAATTGCTATATATAGCGACATCCCTTTCTAACTATGCTCAAGATCAATCACTGAGAATCTTTCTATAATACAGGCCTTAGTCTTAGTAGTACGGCGAGCTGTTTCCGCAACTATTGCCTATTTTGCGTAGGGATTGGTATCAGTCCTGCCATCGCAGCTCCTCCAGACAGCTCAGCAGTCCCCCGATGTTGCTGCAGGCCTCTACTAGTGTCCGCGGACTTCCCATTAGAGAAATCCTTTGTCTTGCAACGCCCCTGCACACCAGTAGAATATGGGCGCTCGTCTCCTCTTCCTCCAGGCAGGCTGTTTAGTGTCCCAAAAAGGAGGTGGAACTAACTAAAGAATTAAACACCTGTTCCAATTTTAAATAGCGAGAGAGAGCATTTATTGCTTCTACATAAAATACTTATGTTTCCATAAAAACAAAACGATAGCGCGATTCAATAGACTATTCCTGCCATCTATTATACAAAACGTTAATCTGATTCTTAACATACCGCCCACCATGGACAGCATGGCCATAACAAATGAGATTGCAATTTTAATTATAAATCAAAAGTCATCTTCATAGTAGATTATACATATAACAACACAAATTCTTGAAAAATACCTAGGTGACAGTCACACTATTAGATAATGAACATCTTAGTCAATCAACAAAATAAAATTCTTTATACTTTAACACAGATTGAAAATATTTACAAAAAATAACTTTATAAGTGAACAACAATATAAACATACTGAATAATAAATCTATTATAGTCATAAGCAATATTTAAATAACTATAATTGAGAAAACATTACTAAAATTGTATATAAATAAACAATTAACGCAAATATTTAAGTCAAACAAATCTCTATAGAGAACATTTGCATAGAAAGCCAACGACACGGGTATGTGATCACTGTAACGAAATATGTAATAATGCCATAAACTCGCTAAATAGCAATCGAAACCAAAAAAAAAAACATCATATACCATAACATACCAATGTCACTAATTTGTGTTAGTCAATTGGAGAATTCTTAAGCTAAGTAAAATAATATAGTTTACCGCTTTTAATCTGAGTTTACCGCCCACCCCGAGGACTTCCATTTTTGTCCTGGAAAAGTTCCTTTTTGCCTTCATAAGTTATAACAAGCTTGTACCTAAGTGGACTGTATTTAATATTTACATGTAAACCGTGAAGGACCAACTTTAAACTGGCTGTGGTAAACAATTGACTTTTCTTTTTTTTTACCCTATTGGCAATGAAAACCTTGCATCTACTAAGATAACTACTGAGCCTTGTTTTGCCCCTGTATTTAATCCAATTCTGCAACAAATGATTAAGCATGTCTTGAAACCATTCCAAACCATTCATCCATAATTTTGAAATTTTTGTTTGAATTATGGAACACGCAACCCACCCCAGCGGATCGAATAATCGTGTGATACAGGAAATAACTTGGGAGGTGTTTCTGTATATCCGTGCTTCGGTATCAATAATCTGTATACCATGTTTACCATAATTAAATGAGCGGAATGGTGGCTTAACTAAAAACCGGCCAAAGTCTTCTCTGATGGGTTTATCCGCGAATAGCATTTTACAATATTGCTGTTCTCGAGCAATAGTCTTTTTATTTATAACTGAATTCCCTGACTTCGATTCCCAACATTTAAGAAGTAAATCATCCCTACGAGCAGTGGTATTTGAACTTATGACCTTAAGACATGACAACTGGAGGCTGCCCAAAGGTTTTGAAGAAACCTGGCCAGATAGAATCCATCCACTTTGTACTAACAGAAAAGTTGAAGGACCCTTGCTTAAACCAACGACTAAAATCTGACTGATCATATCAGCTCCCAGAAGCAAATCAGAGTCAAGATCTGCTATTTGTACCACTACTAACTTTTTATATATTTCTATATTGACTTTATAAGTCGATAATATGGAAGTTAATTTAACATGAGCCCTGGCGTCTACAACATAATAATTGAGGCCATGCATTGATTGAAGTTTAGTAATTGACGCTTTCGTTACTACAGAGTCACTTTGATTACCGCTACCTGACATAAAAGCATTCGCTGGAAACTTTTGGAGACCTAGCGATTGCATAGTGGCATCTGTAGTAAATGAAGATTGAAATCCTTTAGCAACCAAGGATCTGAAAGTACAGTGATTTCTTGACATGGACTGTACTCTAACTAACGTAGTAGTAGTTTGACTATGAGTAGTTGAATGACTCCTTACTACGTGATTGACTTCCTTAGTAACATCAGAATTAACTGACGAGGAAGTAGTGTCTACAACAATGGCTCTCTTGTCAACGGATAAATCAGCGACATGGTTTTCCGTTGATATTGGAATATTGAGATCTAATAAGGTATGATGTTTTTTCTGACATACGAGGCATCTAGAAGCTTGACGGCAGGCAAACGCGGAGTGATTTGGACCCATACAATTAAAGCACAAATTATTTGATCGAATAAAACTACGACGCACTTCAACAGTTTCATGTGCAAAAAAGAAAATACAGTTACTTAAGTCGTGACTTTCTGAGCAGAACAAACAAGAAGTTGATGTGACATGTTGGACTTCAGTATAATATGATATAAAGCAAGAATTCTCTGTGTCAAAACAACTGTCAGTAACAGACTGTGCCTTTTTGATCTTTAATAATACTTCTTTTAATTCGGCCTTATAATCAATATACAACTCTTCTGTTGTTTGGTACATATTATTTTTACAGTAAGAAGATGATTCGTAGTCTTTAGTGTCTATATCAGAGATAATCTTTAAGTGTGTGTCTACATAAGATTTCCATAGTACTTCTAATCTTTCTAACCTTGCCTCTATATAACTCTGAGTAAGACGTTCCTTGGTTAACTTTTTGTAGCTAACTATACCATTACCAATGACTGACGTTACATGTTCTTGAATTTTAAATAATATTTCCATATTTGTTTCTCAATAATTACTTGACATGAAATGAAATCAAATAAAAAAAGCTTTCGTACACCATACAACAACAACAACAAAATTATTCCGTAAAGGATAAACAGAATATTACCTAAACCAATACAGAAGTATAATAACAATCTGTAAATATTTTCAAAGTCTATGACAGCCACCAAAACAAACAAAAAATTATTTTAAGTCCACAGAGAATTGATTGCTAAAGTCTTTGACAATTTTGACACCTGGGGAAAATCGAGCATAGGTTCCCCGTCTCAACAGAGTTTAGCCTAAAATTTTACAAGTCCAAGCTACTATACTAAATTAATTCTAATAAAGTTAAAGTCCAAAGATCTTCTATTCTTGCTAAGTTATTTCTTCTATGTAAATAAAGTTCAAATTCACTCACTCACTGATTGTTCCGCATGCCATACCATATGTGTTTCGTGTTCAGCTCCTGTACAACTCTCCATAAATATTTTCAAAACTGCAGCGCCCTCTATTGTCAAGGTTTGTTTGTATTACAGCTTCAACTTTGACTCAAACCTTTTGGAATTGCTCCATAGCAGCAGCAGTAAAAGATAACACGGCAATAGACAATAAATTCCTCAACTCAACCTGAAAAACTTTTTTGAATGGCGCGCTGAACACGTTGCCTCTAGGTGAGCCTTAATCCGGCGTACCGTAGGACCAATGTTTAGTGTCCCAAAAAGGAGGTGGAACTAACTAAAGAATTAAACACCTGTTCCAATTTTAAATAGCGAGAGAGAGCATTTATTGCTTCTACATAAAATACTTGTTTCCATAAAAACAAAACGATAGCGCGATTCAATAGACAATTCCTGCCATCTATTATACAAAACGTTAATCTGATTCTTAACACAGGCTCTGCACAAAGGTCTGTCAGAAATACCTATATTACAAAGTATGCGACGTGCTAAAGATGATCAATTATTTTTTATAACATTTTCACTTTAAAAACCATCTTGACATGTAAGACATCAATTGACTTAAAAGCCCTATGAATTTAAAACACGATTATGGTTTTAAGCCGGATGGAGCTGGGGTGCGGGCGTCGCGTGCGGCGCCTTCGATGCCTTTTAACTTTACTTGTTTTACGATAGTGTTTATTGGTAATTGCCTTTAACAACTGCCTATAGTTTATGGCCTTATGGTATCACGTATTCAGGTATCCATTGTTGTTGCAAATGGCTATACTATGAATAGAAAAACAATAAACAGTCTACATCCCACGATGATTCATTACAGAGTAGAGGGTATTGATAACTGCATTCTGAAACAATGATTAAGATCCACTTGCAATTTTGCTAAATCCCAATTAAACTAAAACTAAATTAATCCCATACAATAATGTCAGATAGATAATGACGTTTTGTCATTTTTCTATGGGATATATCTAATTTTAGTTGTATCTAGATTTAGCAAATTTGCCGCAAGTGGACCTTTGATAGAAATAAAGTTGTTATAGAATGAAAGTGTTATTAATATTACCAAAAATATTGAAATATAAAGGTATTTTTCTAGCGCCTAGGATTGGTGGAGCCTAAAATGACGTCACTTGCTCGTAAACATACTGTCGAAGTGGCATTCCTTTGTACTGTTTGACGTTTAAATGAGAGCCATATAACGTCACCTGCCATATTTGCTAGAGAAACGTTTCCGCGGGATATTTAAAAACATATTTTTTATTAATATACCCAACAGCTCGAGCTCGATGGCGCAAGTGATTAGCGTATACGGCTGTGATCGTTGAAGTTAAGCAATTTTCACAGTGGTCGGTCATTGGATGGGTGACCAAAAATTTTCTATTACGAGCTCCTCTGTTTCAAAGCGATCTGCAATAAAGTTTTTAACTAATTCAGCATCTCTGAGGAATATTAGCACGAACCATTATGTCCCTACTACTGCTGTTATTTATAAAATTTACATTAATATAGACGAAATTACAAAACTTTAAAACTCGACCCACCAAAGTCTGCTGGTCCGGATTCTTTACCTGCTCTCTTTCTTATTAACTGCGCGAAAACCATAGCAATTCCAATTTCTATTCATTTTAAGAGATCTTTGGCGGAGAACACTGTGCAAACTATATGGAAACGTGCCTTTGTAACGCCGGTTCATAAGAAAGGGCACAGAAACGACATTACTAATTATCGGCCTATTTCAAAGCTCTGTATTATATCGAAGATCTTTGAAAAAATTATATATGAGCAACTTTATGCGCCTTTGAAATATTCGTTTAGTCCTACACAGCATGGTTTTCTCAGGGTTAGCTTTGTTGTGTCCAATCTTATATTGCTTAACGAAGCCGTTACTGCAGTCATGGATAGTGGCCTTCAGGTAGATGTTATCTATACGGGCTACAGTAAGGCTTTCGATCGGATTCAGCATGATTTACTTTTGTATAAGTTTAAAATGATTGGCGTTGGTGGCGACCTTCTAAGGTGGTTATCCTCTTATATAGATAATTCGCTTACAGGCAGTCGTTATTAAAAATTATATATCTGGATGGCTTTCGGTGCCTAGTGGAGTCCCATAAGGATCCTTGCTTGGTCTGCTTCTATTTGCGGTGTTCTTAAGTGACATTGAGCAGTATTTTCGAGCCTCAAAACTGCTATGTTCCGCTGATGACATGAAAATCTTAACACCTATATCTACGTCTGAAGACGCACGTCTGTTACAAGAAGATGTATTGCGGATTGACAGCTACTGTTCAAGTAATCATTTAGATCTTAATCCTTCTAAATGTAGTGTTGTCTCTTATAGTCGGAAGCGAAATATGGTATTGTTTGACTACAAACTAAAACAATCCCAATTAAAACGTGTAATAGTTGTGAGAGACCTTGGTGTATTTCACGATTCGAAGTAGCTTCGAAGAGTAGCTCTTCGATACGCATATCAATACGATGATCACAAAAAGCTCTAAGGCCCTCGGGTTAATTATGCGCAACTCCAAAGACTTTAGTCAGGCCAAGACCCTCTAGATTTTATATTGTACCTTTGTTAGAAGTCATCTTTAGTATGCATCTCAGGTCTGGAACCCTAGATATTCCACCTTTAAATATCGCATTGAAGGCATCCAGAGGAAGTTTATAAGATATCTGTGCTTTCGCACTAAGGAACGGAATGATTCAGGTCGGCACGGGGAACTCTGCAAAAAGCATCATCTTCTCCCTTTAGAGATGCGTCGCGAAATTGTGGATTTAGTTTTTCGCAGTAGGATCGCTTCTGGCACTGTTGACTGTCCGGAACTCCTACCAAAGATCTTGTTTGGAGTTCCCCCTAAACCCCTTAGGATTACTCTTATTTTAAGTATTCCCCCTACTTCTTCAAATTATCGGCAGAACGCTTTTCTTTGTCGAACAAGTAGCAGCTTCAATTCACTATCTAAACAGGTAAATTTAAATCTTTTTGACACTAGCGAAGCGTCGATTAGATGTATCATTGCTCGTTTGTTTTTTGGAGATCATAATTAACAGGTGCGTAATTTTTTGTTCTGTTATTAATCATAAAGACCTTATTTATAAAACTATATATTTATAGTTTTTTTTACATTGGACAGTGCTCTCTTTTTTTTAATTTTAAGTTATGTCTAGATATGAGGACCTGTAACTGTCACTACTATTTATTTGTAGATAATTAAGATAAGCTGTTGGTCTTCCATGTAACCAAAATAAATAAATTACTACCAAACTGATCTTGATATAACTGAGCACTATTAAAATGAAGTCGGTTGATAAAAAAAGGCTGTGTCATAAATATTTATCAATAAGAGGTTGAGTAAATTTACTATAATATAACAATTTTGTATGTACAGAACAGACAATAGTTCTTTCTGGTTATATTTCCTCATCAAAGGGAATCAGTCGTTCTCCCTTTTCGATAGAGCCGAACATTCGATTAGGGCGACAGGCGGGGCGGCGGCGGCGTCGCCCTCGCAGTAGCGGTTGGCACGTGATTTGGCTACAAACCAGCTACGAACACTACGAACAGTCTACGACAGCTACGATTGCTACGAGCTATGTACATCAACAACTTTGAAAGTCTGTAACTGAAAAACTTTTGAGGTGTACTTTTGTGTAGAAAAATAAAATAGATTCAGCGAATATATATTTTTAAATAAATTAAACTAGGTAGTCTCATATTGGCTTGTATTCGACCTTTTAAAGTTTGAAATTTATTGAGGATCTTCTGTGACATTATAATTCAATAACCATCGTGAAGTGTTATGTGTAAAGAAAGTTGTTTTTGTCTAAGGTGGTTTATTGGAAATTACACAGAGAACACATTTCCGGAGAACATGTGTTCTCTGTGGAATTTTTGAAGTCTTTAAAAATAAGTGAGTTAAACATATATACTGAAAGCTAATGCAACTTTAAATTATATACCAAAATTCTCCACTTCTTTCTGCGCAAAATGTGCTTAGAAAGTTTTGCTTCACGTAATTACTGTAATGATTTTGATGATCAAATCAACCATAATTTGCTCCTGATCAAATTCCTCTAGGTGATAACAGTTTATTGAAGTTGAAAAAAAAAATCTTTGCTATTAATGCGGTTTGGTGACACTTGATGAACATTATTACTGTTCTATTGACAAATAGATATAAAAACTTACACGGAAAAATGTTTCAAACTATACTTATTTATAAATAGGGCAGTTAAAATAAGATGAAATATGGCGTAGACGAGAAACGCTATGCGCCCACATACGTACACGAGAACGTGAAATTTATAAGTAATCTTACTGTGAAATTGAGTACAATTCGGTTAAATCGAGGGGATCGCTTTCGGTGAAGCGTCATGTTTACTCCAGTAGCCGCGGCGGATCGTAAGTAAAAGGCCTGAAGATTTTTCGGTGCCTCCCCAAGCAGCTTATTTTCTGAAAGCGATTTGGAGTAAATCGTCCACCCGACACTCGAACACAATACTGTTTTTTAAGGAAGCTTGGTTACTGCATTTTTGTGACATAAAAAAATTATATTCACAATTTATATTCTTTTATTTTAGGCAATATCTATGATTTGATAAAAATTGTTATAAACATAAATTAGTTTGTATTGTTGTACAAACTTAATGTTTCGAATTAAATTCTGGGTTCTTATGTCTCTTTAGTTTTTTCAGCGCACAATCACACAAGTGCAGTGTAGTGTGTAGGATGACAGGACTACACTGCACTTAGTATGTACGAGTACCTTGTGATAAAAGAAACTCGTGAAATGTTAATGCCTGTATTTCTGTTGCTTATCCCACACCTGCGTGACGAAGCTTCGGGTGGCTTAGTTACGAAAATATGCTAAAATATGCGTTTGAACTTTGAATTAAGTACACTTCTTCAGCTGCACATACAAATTTATAGTTTTCGACAATCATTTTTAGCGTGTCAAATTATCGCCAGTCAAGCTATTGTCTACAGATTATTAAATTAATTAAAAATTACAGAAGATTAAATTTAGAACGCTAATTTTAGCGCATTTAGTACCAAAACTACACGAAGCTTTGTCGCGCAGGTGTAAGAGAATCATGAGATTTATCATGTTACTGATTCAGTTGTTTGGTCTACAGGGTAACAGGTGACCCCCGGCATGAGGTCGGGGGAGGTGGGCGAGGGGTCGGAGCTAGCCGAGTTCGGCGCGCGCTGGCCGCCGCCCTACACGCAGAGCTACGGCTGGGCGCGCTCCGCGACACCGCAGCACCCGCCCGCCCACCACCTAGCCAGGCATTCGCGCTCGCAGCAGGTACGCATTGAGGAAACCTATATCTCTTGTATACATCATCTTTACGCTATAACCGCAAAACATATCCTTTTTGTAAAAAGCTGTGCTTCAGCTGGGCGCGCTATGCAACATCTCACCGCTCACCCTCCACATCGCTACGCATTCTCGCTCGCAGCAGGTACGCACTGCGACAACATGTAGATTAACACACAACCCCATACCTCTTGCGTGAAAGGCTGAGCTACGATTGGGCGTGCTCAGCGACACCGCAGCACCCGCCCGCCCACCACCTCGCCAGTCATTCGCGCTCGCAGCAGGTACGTACTAAGGAAATTTGTGTCTCTCTCATACATCATCTATACGCTATAACCTCACAACATACCCCTTCCGTGGAAAGATGTGCTTTAGCTAGGAGCGCAACGCAACATCGCACGTAATTCTACAAAAGAAGTCCGCCTGGTTTACCCACACGCAGAGTTAGGGTTGGACACGCAAACTGTATACTGTGTGATTTGGTTTCTTATTTAATTCGTTCACGTTATTTTTTTTTATATAAATAACAAAAGCTTAAAATTACTGGTATTTTTAAATATTATTTTAAGTATTTAACTCCTAGATTTATAAATGTAAAGAAAATTTTGCTACAAAAATTAACACATCATTGTACGAATCCTGTCTGATGTTTGGACCGCTGGAATTTGTTCTAGTGAAATTTTTTATACATTGTTATTTTTTTTATTTCATAAGTCAAATCGCTCGATTGTCTCAAACTATTGATTAATAGCAGCTACTTAGATAATATATTTTTCTTTAGGCTGTCGACCGTAGGAAGACCAATAATTTATTGAACAGCACCTACTGTCTATAGACTAGCTAGGATGACAGGACTGATGGTATTCTTTATGCAAAATAGGCGCAAAATTAGACTTGCGGATTTAACAACTCGCCGTAATCCTACGACTACTATTCTATTAAAACATATTGGCAGATTTCACAATTCCGACTTACTATCTAGACAAGTAGTAAAGTTGATGGGTTATATTCGATGTGTCTAGTGGTTGCAGGACAGCCGGCACCCGAGCTACGAGGCCGAGGACGCGCGCGCGAGGGCTCGTGGCGGGGTGTACTACTCGCCACCCGGCACCTCCTACACCATCGTGGAGCGACCGGCCTCCTCCCACGGCCACCACGCCAGCTACTCGCAGCACCACTACTCGGGCAAGCTATCCCGTGCGCCGTACCTGGGCTCTACCAATATAGCCAATAGTACAGGTAAGCTCCTTTGTGTAATTTATTCGTGCAAGTTATTGAGTATTTATTAATGCACCCGAGCTACGAAGCGAAGGACGCGCGCGCTAGTGCTCGCGGTGGGGTGTACTAATCGCCGTCTGGCACCTCCTACACCATCGTGGAGTTACTGGCCTCCTCCCATGGCTACCACGCCAGCTACTCGCAGCACCACTACTCGGGCAAGCTATCCCGCGCGCCGTACCTGGACGTTCAATTAACATAGCCAATAGTGCAGGTAACCTCTTTTGTGTGTCTTAAACGTTAGTGAGTATTTATTAATGCACCCGAGCTACGAGCTGGAGGATGTGCGCGCCAGGGCTCGTGGCAAGGTGGACTAATCGCCACTCGGCACCTCCTAAATCATCGTGGTGCGTCCGGCCTTCTCTCATGGCCACCACACCAGCTACTCGCAGCACCACTACTCGGGCAAGCCATCCCGTGCGCCGTACCTGGGCTCCACCAATAAAGCCAAAAGTGCAGGTAACCTCCTTTGTGTGTCTTAAACGTGCACGTAAGTGCGTAGTTATTAATGCACCTGAGCTACGAGGCGGAGGACGCGCGCGCTAGTGCTCGTGGTGGGGTTTACTAATCGCCGTCTAGCACCTCCTTTACAACATCGTGGAGCGACCGGCCTCCTCCCATGGCCACCACGCCAGCTACTCGCAGCACCACTACTTGGGCAAGCTGTACCTGGGCTCCACCAATAAAGCCAATAGTGCAGGTAAGCTCCTTCGTGTAATTTAATCGTGCACGTTATTGAGTATTTATTAATGTACCCGAGCTACGAGGCGAAGGACGCGCGCTAGTGCTCGTGGCGGGGTGTACTACTCGCCGCCTGGCACCTCCTACAGCATCGTAGAGCGCCTGGCCCCCTCCCACGGCCACCACGCCAGCGTTCTCCCGCGTGCCGTACCTGGGCGTCCTACTAACATAGCCAATGTGCAGGTAACCTCCTTTGTTTAACTTAATCGTGCACGTTAGTATTTATTAATGCACCCGAGCTACTACTACTAACTAGGCGGAGGATGCGCGCGCGAGGGCTGTTGGTGGGGTGTACAATACGCATCGTGGTTTCATACACAACCATAACCTTCGTGACCGAGTGGTTTGTACGCCGGGTTTCATGGTGTCGCCGACTCGAGAGGTCCCGGGTGCGAATCCCGGTGGGGGCAGATGTTAGTGTGATGAATACGAGCATTTGTACTCCAGCCATGGATGTTTAATATGTATTTCTATATATATATACTTATATATGTACAGTATATGTATTCTATCCGTTACACTGGTATCCCATAACACAAGCCTTACAGTGCTTACTTTGGGGCTAGGCTAATTGGTGTGAGTGTTGGAAATATCTATTTACTAGTGGCCCGCCATCTCTTCGCTTAGGTGTAAAGCTGTAGTGTAGACTATAGTGTTTTTTCTCAGGTTTATATTATAAACGACTGACAATGACATTATTCTAATACCTAACTACACCCGTCCCCGGCCCCCGACCCGTTACCGCCGGAACCGCTATGTCCCTGCATTTTAAATCTGTAATATCTTCGAAAATATACACATCGAAAGGATCAAGAAAAAAAATGTATGAAAATTTTCCATGCACAATAATATCCAAATGTAGTTTTCCAGATTGACTTTTCACTCTGATCCCTCTGTTTATATCTACGACGTATCGCCAGGTTGTATAAAAATAAAGAAAATATTGCAGTTTCTGTTAATTATGGAAAATTACTTGCGTGCGTTGCGTACCTAACCCGTAGATAATTTTGATGTGTGTAGTTAAATTTAGCTTAATACAAAGTTATATGTAAAGCAATCCAATATTGCCCATATCAGTACAAATGCATGGCATCTCATAAATATTATACATAAATATCACCAGTATCAACATACCATCTTCAAACGATGTCACGAGTCGCGATTGGTGCTGGAAAG